GATTCGAAATAGATTCAGAATCATATACAGTTTGTTTACCTAACGACAAAAAACGAAGATTGAGTAGTTTAATCGATAAGTTTATGCAGATGCGTTCGTGTAAAATACGAGAGTTCGCGAATTTAATAGGTACATTAGTGGCGGCTTGCCACGGTGTAAACTATGGCTGGGTCTATCTGAAGACTTTAGAGAGGGAGAAGATATTAGCTCTGATTTATAACCAAAACGATTACGATCAAAAGATGGAAATATCAGAGCAAGTACGGACCGATTTAAACTGGTGGAAGAGGAACATTCAGCAATCCGTTAGTAACATTAGAAGTCCAAATTTTGACTGGACTATATACACGGACGCTTCGATGACTGGTTGGGGGGCTGTTCTTGGTAGTAAAAAAATTCACGGCTTTTGGAATAAAACAGAAAGAGAACAGCATATAAATTTTCTAGAATTAAAAGCAATCCAACTGGCTTTGAAAAATTTTGAAATAGAGCTAGAAAATTCTAATGTTCTTCTAAAGGTGGATAACACGACCGCCATCTCATACATCAATAAGATGGGAGGAGTAAAATATCAAAAATTTAATCACTTAGCAAAAGAAATTTGGAAATGGGACGAAACTAGAGATATTTGGTTGTTTGCAGTACATATTCCATCAGAAAAGAATGTGATAGCAGATAGGCTTTCAAGAATAAAAAATATAGACACAGAATGGGAGATCGCGGAATTTGCATTTGAAAAAATAGTTAATGTTCTCGGATATCCGGATATAGATTTGTTCGCGTCAGAAAGAAATAAAAAATGTACTCGATATTGTACTTGGGAAAACAATCCAAATGCATGGGTGATTGATTCGTTTACCATATCATGGAAGAAGTGGTTTTTCTATGCTTTTCCACCATTTTCTATGATTTTGAGAACATTGAATAAAATAATTCAAGACAAAGCAATGGGTATCATGGTGGTCCCGGAATGGAAGAGTCAACCGTGGTACCCAATGTTTAAAAGCATATTAATCGGAAAACTTCTCAGGTTTGAGCCGTCTCAAAATCTACTTCTATCTCCTTACAGGTCGAGGCGACATCCAATAGCTCAGAAAATTACACTTCTGGCAGGGATTGTGTCAGGAGATCGTATTTAAAAAGAAACATTCCGATAGATACAATCGAAATTCTTCTCGCATCAATATCAGATAATACTTGGAAGCAGTATAACTCGGGATTAAAAAAAAAATGGTGGTCTTTCTGTGCAATCCATAAAGAGAATCCATACCAAATTTCAGCAAATAAGCTCTTAAGATTTTTAACTAAAATGTTTAGTGAGGGAGCGTCCTACGGGTCCTTAAATTCCTTTCGGTCAGCAATATCATTAGTTTCACATAATAATATTGGTGAAGATCCGATGGTATGTAGATTTTTGAGGGGTGTGGCAAATTTAAAACCTATAGGATCGAGATATGCAGCCACATGGGATCCAAGTATTGTTTTGGATAAAGTAAAAACATGGTATCCAGTAGAGAGTTTAAATCTGCGAGAACTAACAGAAAAAACTATAATTCTGTTAGCGTTAGGTACAGCCCACAGAGCTCAGACGTTTGCCTCAATTGATTTAGAAAATATCAATCAGACAAAGGACGGATTGGAAATTCAAATACTCGATCGACTGAAAACATCAAGGCCAGGCAGAGCACAACCATTATTAATTGTACCCTTTTTCGATCAAAAAAGAGAATTATGTATAGCCCGGACACTGTTAGAATATGTTAAAAGGACAGGTCCCTTAAGAGGGGATAAAAAAAGATTGTTCGTTGCGGTTAATAAACCACATCGATCAGTATCTACACAAACAATCAGCCGTTGGATAAAGTCAGTGTTAGGAAAATGCGGTATCGATATATCTCTTTTTTCATCTACATTTAACCAGACATGCATCAACGTCTGCAGCTTACGCTAGTGGGGTAGACATTGAAACAATAAGAAAAACCGCAGGATGGTCGACAGGGTCGTCCGTTTTTGCAAGATTTTATAATCGACCAATTACATCAACAAACAGCAAATTTGCAAGAGCAGTAATTTCGTAATAAGAAAGGGTAGCGTGTAAATCTAAGTATGACATTGCTTGTATGACGAATTATATCAAAATAATAATTATAAATAAAAATTAAGAGGTAAAACACTAATCATATCCAGGTAGTAGCAAATTTGGATAATAAAGTTACTAAATAGAGCAGAAAATATAAGGCCGGAAAAATTACCTGCACTCTAAATAACTACATAGTTGTAATCTCGAGAACAAGGCTTCGAAGTATAAATGAAAATCAAACGAACTTACCTGTAAGTGAAGTTCGATTGAAATTATATGAGAAGCCTCGTTCGAGAAGATTACAATCCCGCCCTATATATATAAAAAAAAAAAACCCACCACAAAGAACAAGCAGGTAATTTTGCAGCGTAACTCTAAAATATGAGTAAGCAAGATGGCCTTTGCGGGGGGCGGGAACTTTTTAGGTTAGACTCTGAACGTTGTGACATCGAGCGGCACGGAGTGGTACTACATAGTTGTAATCTTCTCGAACGAGGCTTCTCATATAATTTCAATCAAACTTCACTTACAGGTAAGTTCGTTTGATTTTCAATATGATTCGCGCGCGCGTATATAAGTAAATGCATTTTACTTAAACCAAAATCTCGGATTTTGTCATAACAATTAGAAAGAATTTCTGGTTGTTATGACAAGAATCGAGATTTTACATCTAAAACTATAATTATTTTATAAGTATTATATTATTTATTACATTATATGTAATAGTGGATTTATTTAATATTTTTCAGTTTGGTTGGAATCATAATTCTTTTCAATTTGCATCATCAGAATTATGATTAATTTTAATCTCAGCGCCATGTAGCAGACCAATTGTTGTGTCAGTTGACACAAATCGGGCGAATATGCTGTATTGTTTTATGTCGTCGTGTTGTCTCCTGTAGTAAATTGGAATAAAATGATATATTCCATTGTTGATAAGAAAACCTCTTCTCTTTCCGTCGTCAATATAATTTGGAGAAAAATGTACAGAAATTTTGAAAGTTATAGTAGTGTAAGATTAATTTGAATTTCTCTATTATATACTGCTTTTTAAGTGTGTAAGCTCATAGATTAAAAGTGCATAATGAGCATGATGCTTCATTTATCCTTGTTTACATTCGATGAAACAAGGAACATTATACATAAAACGAAATACCCCAATAATTTACAGAAAGACATGTTTGATCAACGAGATATTCTGCGGGCATAGCATTAACGAAAAATTTATTTAATTGACGAGTAGTTTTGGTATATTAACAAGGTACAATTATCAATGCAGTTCAAAATACAATAAAAAAAATATTACATAGTAGCATAATTAAAAAATTAATAATGCGTGATTAAATATACGGTAGCGTTAAATATATACGTATGATAACACAAATTTTATTGAACCAATAGTTACTTTAATATTAATAAATGGAATGTAATATTAACGATAAATAAAACTTATTTACTTTTAATTGTTAACTTTCGATTATAAAATTTATTAAAATTCATCCAATAAAATTTAATTAATATCTTTATCTTGTCGTACTCTGTGGTTAAGGGTACATTCTAGTAACCACTCTAGTAGCATTCTAGTAACCACACGTCCAATGGAGTAAGTAAAAAAAATTTTAGCACGTCAGGTTTCTAAGATAATTAAGGCTTAATATAAAAAAATGGCTTTTTAACAACATTTAATCTTTTTTTTAATTTAATGTTATCTTACAATGTTATCTTTCTGATTAGAGAAGTCATGGATATATTTCACCCCCTATAAAATGCATTCTTTTTATTTCACTATCTCATTTTTTAGCCATATTACGAAGAATTTAAATACAGGATTATTCATTCAAGATAATAAGTTTTTCTTCTATGACGATAAAGTTATATACAGTTTCTGGTTGATGATTAAAAAGACAGGAGAATCTCTTCTTTATTTTTCCATATGAGACATAAAGAATATCTATACAACTTACTGTGTAACTTCTATGTAGAAAATATTCGTGAAAATCTCAGAAGTATTTAAATGTCTTCAAATTTAGACTTTTATCACAGGAATTCGATCATCATGGTGCAATAGTCCGGCACGACAATAGTGAAGGCTTTGACCGGCATCGCTCGCGATTGTTATCTGCAGAATTACACGTTTATGGCGCTTTAATAAATCCATATTTCTCGAATTTACGTTCAAAAAAATGAATAGTTTACTATTAGAGCGAATAATAACTATATGCATTAGAAACATAGACATTAGAAACAAGAAATACGATGAAGCGGTCGCAAAAAAGGAAAAAAACATAAGGTAAAAAGCGGAAAACAGTAAGCAAAAACACATGTAGATTAGGCTTTAATCACATATGACACACTAGCAAACTCTAGTTGGCAAGTTGGTCTTTACGAGTAACGAATTGATGCTGACA